TTAATTGAGTTCATTTAAATTATTCCTCCACTCATTTCGTCAAACAAGAACAAGAATCACGAATGGACAGACACAATTACGCAGTCACCAACTTGTCCTTTGTATTAATCTTTTGTTGGATTCTAATGCAAGTGAGAATATATATCAACTCCGGATTCCAAGTCATCCCAGAGGCTGCAAGTTTTCCCTTTTCTTGTTCGTTTTACCGCCCCCACAAAAAAAAAAAAAAGAATTCCTAGTTTCTGAAAAACTAAATAACAACCATTCCTAACACCTGATGATTCACATATTGAGACAAGTCAGATGATCAACGGTCTCCACAACAATGTTTTAAAAGCCGGACCGGAAGTCAAATCGGAAAGATCAACGGGTCATGGTTCAATCGGTCGGACCGTTCGGTCAGACCGGTGACGCAATAATTAATTTAAAAAATATTATATACATATAATTAGTATATATGAAAAATATCAAATTATTAAATAATTTAGAAATGCATTTAAATAATCTAAAATTATAATAAAATCATTGAAAATGGACTAAAACCTTATATATTTAATTTTATGTATGTTTAAAATATTTAATGATATTACAAATTATCAATTCATTCAAATCAAAATATTTTTTTAAAAGATAGATCAAATATCGAAACAAAAAGACTAGCGACTCACGATTTTAACACCACAATATATGAAATTTTCAATGAAATAATACTATATGGTTATAACTAGTCTAAAAATATATTAGGATATTTAAGGGGATCAATTTTTTTATTTTTCTTCTATTTTTTAAAATTTTTTTAGTATTTTTCAGTCAGGCTAAAAAACCGTCCGGTTTTCTGAAAACCGTTCCGGTTCCCGGTCCAACTCCGGTTTCCGGCTTAATAACGGCTCAACTCCGGTCCAATCCGGCTCAACTATGTGAACAGTTTTTTGGTCCAAACCGAGCCGTTAACGAGTCCGGGTGACGGTTCAACCGGTCCGACCGTCCGGTCCGGTCCGGTTCTTTAATCATTGCTCCACAATCAACCAAGCTTCAATAGTTCAATGGGAAACTAAATGACTTGGCATCCGATTGTGATATTCAGCTAGCATTAATCATGGATCATGCGAAATAAAAGCCGAGGACAGCGCCACCAGATGACAACAATAAAGGAGAAAGCTGGCCCATACAGATGGACAGCATATATAATTTAATCACCACAAAGTTTCAAACCTTTATATGTTCAAATTCAATTTACAAATCCAGTATAAACTCTTTCTAGTACAACATAAAATATATGGAAGGGAGGGGGAAAACTCAAAAAGTTGTGATTGATGAAGAAGAAGCAAGCACGGGTGTGATTTCCGAGGAGGAAGCAGCATTCCCCCACAACCTTTAACCACCGTTGACAAAACGCATCAACCTCAAAACCATATTGTACATTGTACACTAACAGTAATTCTTCTCTCCACCATAGCAGCATATATGAATCTCAACAAAACTCTATTTAACCTCTATTCTCGCATTTTCTTTCTCACTAAACACAAGCAGGCCTACAAGCTCGAAGGAAAAGTGCTGAGCTCAACGATTGTGGAGAGGGTCTGATGCATTTGGGACTTTCCTCTTCCGTGACAAGTACAAGTCAAACGGCTTCTTTCCAAGCTGCTTCTCCTTCTGTTTCTGATTCCCTACCATGCTCGTTATTGTGTGGTTGCTCAAGCCTATCCTTGAGGTCTCTTGCTTTTCTGCGCACACTAGGAATGTGAGTAACACAAAAACCATAACCCTCCGAGACCAAGCTAGCAGAGAGAAGTGCATATTGTTTGGCTCTACGAGAGAGGGAGGAAGAGAAAAGGATACTTATAATGGAAATGGAAGGGAAGGTTTGAAAAAGCAAGCACTCGATTGGAGGGGAAAAGCTATTAGGCTTTGTTTGGGCAGTGTAGACGGAAGGAAAAAGGTGATGTAGAGTGATGTTCATTGAGTACACCCTGCAAACAGGGGACACATCTCACGAAGCTCACTTTTTCTGCATTTGCTTTAATATATTCTTTTGTCTTTCACGGGAGCACTTTTTGATTTTTCTGAATTTTTCCCTCCTTCTGCCTTCCAGTCTTCCTAAAATAAGGTTTACCGAACCTCCGTTTCATGGCGCACACATATATTCAGAATCTGGCTCTTCTGCTTTTTATCTAGTATCTTGTCCTGGCGTTGCTTGTCGCCTTCAGGTAAAACAGTCAATTTGCTTATTGTGGCTCCATGTGCTACGCTTCACCAATCCAATTATAGCCGCCTAAAATTGAGCAACTTCTCCGAGTAATTCTGTCTTTATATCTTCCCCTCTCTCTTTCCTAACTGTTTCTCTGTTTCCTTTGGCTAAACGTCTCCGTGTAGAGGCCAAACTGTATGAATAATTGCCCTCTTTATTCTTTCAAGGACATCTGCATGCATTGCTTTAGTCCTATGTTTGCAGTATCTTTTTCCAATAAACAAGTGAGGCAAATGTTTGCTTAAAGCAGACGCCTTTGAGTAGTCAAATCATGCGCGAGACCAATCAAGGAACGATTCAAGCAAATGACCTGGGAGTAAATTACTGAATCCTCAATATCATAACATTAAATCACTACAGGGGCATTCGACATTTTGATTTTCTCGTGTGCTTTCCTTGGCAGGTGCCTGATGTTGTTGTCTTTCCAAGTAAATGCTCTTCATCATTATTTGCTAATAGGAACCACGGCGGGCAGGCCTGGCCAATGACCACTTGTTCTTGCTCGTATGTGTTTCCGTGTTACCTTAATTGCTTTGGTTTGGTCTTCTATGTTCACCACTGCCACGGCAACTTCTTTTATCCAAAAAGTCAATTTTATTAAAGTGTCTATAATTAACTGCCTTTATCTTATTATCTAATTCCCACTTGACCTGCCAATCTCATCACTATGTTTAACTATATCATGGCACGACCCTGTGTTCTTCTATGACTCCGCATAGATTTTTTTTCCTTCCATATCTTCTTCTATTATCTTGGGAGTAAAAGAAAATTACCCCACTATCGCCAGTCCTCGTCCCTCGTTACCGGTAGCAGCATGGCAGGCCAGGTAAGGGCAGCTTTTTTAAGCGTACAATTTTCGGTAAAGCTTAGTTGAATATCGATCAAATCCTTATTCTTGGCAGAATAAAAGTAAAAGTTAAATAAAATGGGAAAAATTAACTGACAATTGACAGTGACGGAAGATGGGCGATTGCTGATATTCTGATTTACTGTTGGCTCTTGATTTAATTAAAAAAAATAGAATTATCGTAAGGAAATTATTTTGATGCTCACACGTTTCTTGGCAGTTACTCAAAATATCAAAAACTGAACACACACACACACAGCCGAACCTATTTGCACTGATGATTTTTTTTTTAAATGACCAGATTTGTGGAATGAACTGGTTAATATAGCTAATACTACTTTTACAGTTGTTTGTTTACTTTGAAATTTAAAATGTTAAAGTGTACTGGATAAGTCACTTTATTATTATGTTATTAATAGTAATTATAATTATGATGTGGAGGCCACATTTACCACCATGTTAGGCCCCTAAATGCCTAATTTTCTTCTCCGCACTGGTGGCCCCTGCATGCCTAAAATTGGGCGGCTGAAGCGACGTGGCATATGATGGACAAGGAAGTGCATTCAGCCTAAGTCAGCCCAGACACTGCCCCTTTTTTTTTTTTTTTAACCAGCAGCCCAAACACTTCAATAGGGCAAAAAAAAAGTGCTATACTTAATACAAGAATTTACAGATATAAAAAAAATTAATTAATTTTATTATTTATAATAAATTCATGTTGTCTTTTTAAAAATATTTTTATTGATAATGTATATTAAAATGAAAATTTGTTAACATTTGTAATTATTATGGGACTATTTTAACAAAAAATAAACAAATATAAAAAACAAAATAAATTAAGATATTATATTTAGAATCAAATTGAATATCTAATTTTTCATATTTAGAATTGGTTTTTCTTTTTTGGCCGGGACAAGATAGTATTAATTTGCCCTAACAATTAATAGTTAATGACATGACGTCACTCAACTTTTTATCGCGCGCCTGGGGGTGGGGGTGGGGGTGGGGGTGGGGTGGGGGTATCTAGCATACACATCATGTATCTTTGTCATGCATGTTAGGGATATTTTCATAAAGCTTACATAAACTAATAAAAATGTGTATTCTATTATATGTTTTGATATGTTTGTAGAATAATTAACCTAGATACTATTTATGGCACCAATAGTTGAAAGCAAGTTTTTTCCACTATGAAAATGAATGGTTGAATAACTTTATTATATTAAAAAAAAGAAAAGAAAATCAATTAATTAGAATTTCTAAAATATGAAAACTTGTAGCAAACAGCAGTGACGTATTCTATTCATGTTTTCAAGTTTCAGCGATAGGTTGTTATTTATATATATTGCCCGCACAACCTAATTTTTTTTTAACACAACTTGGAGTCTTTTATCTCGATTTTATATACAAGCTACATGATGATTTCATAAATTTTTTTGGCAGGGATATTTTAAATCAAGTAAAATTTTAAGTGAAAAACACAAACAAAACAATAATTAAAGAGAAATAATAACTATAGAAATAGTAGAATAAAAAAATAACATGAAATCCCAATATGTGCGTTAAGTTAATTCGGATAATTACCCCGACAATTTGGTACAGAGACATGCTCGAGTCATTATTCTTATCACATAAAGAATTCATCTATTAAAAGCCCAATCAAACTTTGAACCAACCCCATCAAGGGACAAAAATTTGGGCAGTCTTCGATTTACAAAGAGCTCCTATGTACAATTATATAATCATCAAAAGAGCCCATAATCAAATGTTCCTGGGCTGGTTAAAAAAAAAAAAAAGTTCCTGGAATCATCCAATCAGCTTGAAGAATTTATCCTGGGTTATACAGGCTTCGTTCCCCGCAGCATTTCTTTTGAACTTTGAAGCCTAATACGTTTTTTTTTTTAAACCAGAGAAGCCTAATATTGTGCGTAACAAAAAATACCTCAATCCAAAATACCTCAATCCCCGTTCCACTGGAACCCTTCAGAAGAGAACAGGCAATTACGCATGAGAATCCCAGACCCTTCACGTCATGGAACTATCATTTTGTCACCATTTGTCGAAATAAGTATCTGGTATCTCCGGAGGGGATGGCAGGGTAGCCACATTCTTGAACTGTTTCATTTCAGATAGAGATCTCAATTCAATCATTTTGCCGCCTAGGAGCAGTGACTGCCAGTTTCAAACCAAAAGGGAGAATAGAAGAAAAATTACCTTGTGCTGCCTGTACTTCTCTCGTATAGCTTGCAAAAAGCCCGCTTTTCTTGCCAAGTACAAGTCGTGTAAGATAAGCACGCATTGTTTTAAGTCATGCGGCTTGTATCCAGAGTATCCTTGCAGGGCTGAATTCTGCCACAAGCACTCAACTTGATGAATACCTTTGACTTTTAAACACTAGTCCTGACTAATTTTTAATATGAAATGTAACAGTCACATGGAATGCTTACCCAGGGATGGACTTTAGGCCAGATGATAAATCTGGCAAGAAAAATAGCTGATGCAGCCACCATAGACTGCAAGAATTTTACGCAATTGTAATCCAGCAAACTTAGCTCACCAAGATAGTATGCCAGAAACTCAAACTGCAATTTATGGGTCTGAAAGTAAAACAAGAAAAAAGATGAGACCAAAAAATAAAAAATAAAAATGGCACTCCTTCAAATATGAAGATAGATATGTCTTAATATTTCAGCTTACTTTCTGATACTCACTAGCAATCCCAGCAAGCCTCCTGAACCAATAATCACAACAATCAGTCTAATTTCATTTTTATGAAGGTTCTGACATTTGCATCATAGAATAATAAGGCCAAGAAAATGTCCAGTGTTCTTGCCTTAGAAATGTCTTTACCGTAGGACTTCCCATTTCAAAATTCAAGTACTTAAGGACATGAGCTTCCATCTCCACTACCTACGTTGTTATGAACAGTCAAAGGGGAAATTAGGGGAGCGAACAGAGATCATAAAAGCTCGTTACGCAAAACAAGATCATTCAATCGTAATAAAAATAAACTGAATATTTACTTCTGCCTGGGTGTACGTATTATCAGTTATGTAGCAGAAGTCTTCCACACGAGGAGGGCTGATTTCTTCATACTTCCTGCAAATGATAGGAATTATCAAGTCCCGTGTTTATCGAGGACAGCAAATAATACATACACAATCGCAGGTAGTGAATAACATATAAATCCTTACGATGCAATGAACATGGATGATACGCCGAGCAACTGAAGCCTCTGCTTACTGACGGTCTTGGCAGAGAGGAACCTGTCAATGTAAGAAACCGAGAGATGAAGCGTATCCGAGAGAAGCCTGTACTCCTCCGCCACCTCCGCTAACCAATTAATCAATATCCCTCTAGCATTAGCACTGACGTTCTTTTGAACCTTCTCGAGGTAGTCAGGCATTGGTCTCCGCTTCGGCTCCATCTAAGAAACTAGCAATCATGAGTAAAAATAGAAGGCCAAAATACATTGAAAACCAAATTAAGAATAAAACCAAGAATCACCTCCATTTTGTGAAGGTATTGATAGATTTGAGACGCTGGAGGATCGATCTTTTGCTGATCGTTCAGATTGGCATCAGCGTCTGACTTAGAATCAACGGGCGCTGCCTTATTGTCCTTGATATCGGCATCATGATCCAGTGAAAGGGTCTTCTTTCGACATTTCTGATTCAAAATAGCGGGAAAGATGGCATTTGGTAAATTTGATAGTTCCCCCAACACCACACGCCTCTTGTTGGAAGACTCGTGCTGGGCAATGGCATCGGCTTCTGCCCTCTTCTTGGCTGCGCGGGTCTCCATCTCCTGGATTGGAATTGAGGAGGGAAATAGAGGAAGACGAAGCCAGCGACAAGAAGAGCAGAGGGGATGAATTAGAAATGGGTGGAGCCAGTGACAGTATATATCATCCCATTTGTAAAGAAAAGGAAGAGCGGCATGTCTGGTTTTTTTTCAAAAATACAAACCAAAACAAAAAATGCTTTCCAGTGCCGCTATTGGAGTCTGTCGAAATTTTGATCTTTCTGATTTGTTGTTTTTCCCCCTTGGCGCGATTTGGCGGGTGCCTTTTGTGCCAATAGTTTTCCAATAGAGTGTCGCCTCAGGGCCCACATGTACTTTTTGCTTGGATTCAGGTAGTTAAATTTATTTTTTTTGGGGTATGTACCCAGTGGAAAACTACTAACTTAAAATGTTATGATTTTAAACAGAGAAAATAATAAGAATTAGACTATATGATCTTTATCTAAATATTTTAGATGAGATATATGATGCATGAGCAGAAATGTACATCAAAGTCCAGATGTTAGGTCTGAATATTATTTGTTTCGTTAAATTATGCTCAGTTTAAACGGCATTATTTTTTTAGATGCGATATGTGGAGCATACTTCGTCCATTATAAAGTTTAATCCCTTTCAAAACTAAACAAAAAGATTGACCTCTCCTATTCATATTGTTATATAATATAAAAGTTGAAGTTCGAGTCTCTAATTATTTATGCAGGTGAAGAAAATGTTTACTGCTTACTGCAACTCGGATGAATTGTTATCATCATTGTTGGTAGTAATTACACAAATCGATAAAAAAGTTAACCTTAACATTGATAAAATTAGTTTGACTTGCATATACTTAATCCTTTATTTCTGCACGTAGACCGCATATATTTTTTCCCCCAAAAGAATACTTCAACTCAAGTGAGTTTTTTTTTCCCCAACCATACCGCAACCTAATATTATAGGACGGCAGCATCGGCTTTGACTGGGACCCTGACTCCTAAGGTTCTTCCGCTTTTCACCTGCCAGGCCTGGACTGACCATGAAATGTATGAATCTTTGTTAAATAAAGAGTGATACTAGCAGAGGAGCCCAACCCCCGGCAACACCCCCCCCCAAAAAAAAAACCAGAAAAAAACAAAAAGAGTGATGCTGCCAACAAATTGAGATGATAAGCAGTTATACTCCTATAAGGAGAAAAATACAAATTTAAATTTTGAAAAACATATTTATTGAGAAAGGTGAAAACTCTTTGCATTCTAAGCATAGAAAAAAAAAACCCTAATCAGATAAAAAAAATGATGGTATAATTGATCAGTTGATAATGAGTCGGCCCATAATCTTTAAGGTTATGATGAAGAATCTGTAAGTAGCTATCTAAAGATTTAAATATGAATATGGTCCTGATTTTGGTCTGCTTCGATTGGATTGCAGTAATTTAATATTAACAAGTCAAAATTTCAAACCTGCATGCCAAGTTGTGCCATTGACAAGTCAAACATATATAGGAAAAATTTATTTGTATTTGTTTTTCTTGATGAAAACTTATGATTTACTTTAAGTCATATTATTCGCAAATCATGAATACCACCTCGATGTATCATTCTCGTACCATTCTAAGGCTTAACTTTCCATGGGATGAAAACACTTCGTCATTCATGCTCTCGGAGAACGAATAAAACAAGTTATAGTTTTTTTTTAAATGCATAAATACAATCATATTCAAGACATTTTTAAATATTAAATATGAATATCTCTCCCAATAAATATTTAAGTTTTGGTTCGTCATGTTGTGAGTCGCAGATCCCTTTCATTAAATTTAACTCCTTGGTGGAAAAAAAAAATTATAGTTGATTGCTTATTTTTTATGTTAGGTGCAATTGGTCAGCTAAGGTTTATATTATTAGTAGTATCATGTTAAATTCTAACTCTAATTCTAATATCATCTTGTTTAAATAAAATAACTCTCTTAATACAGAATTTTTTGGGGTGATATTAATATATTCTTTCGGTCCTTAATATAAGAGTCGATTAGGGAATTAATATTGGTTCTATATACAAGACTTATTTCACATGTTTATCAATTTTTTTTAAAAATTAAATGTATTGATATTCTCCCAACAATAATTAAATAAGAGAAGGAAGAAGAAAATTAAAAAAGATACTTAGGGTATTAAAAAAAGATATTATATTAACTAATTTAATTAATATTCTTAATCTACTTAATTTAGTTAATTAGATCTTATATTAAAAATCGGATGAATAAAATATTTTTAATTACAAGGCTGTAAGTACTCAAACTGTTGGTTATCCATTACTATTGCACGATGATGTCAACGATGGCGACGACTAAATATAATGATTTAATTTTGATCACCGCAGTCCGCGGTAAAGAATAAATGGAAAACTCCTAATATCATCGCTACTCACTAAGTACACAAACTTTGCCTCAATTCCTAAGTCTAATTTTTACGATCACTTACCTTTTTTTTCTTGGACAATTCACCTAGCATTCAATGACCACGTCCATACCATAAAGGCATAAATTTACTTACCGAAACAAATAGCGAACACCTAATGTTCAAAATACTTGCCATTCAAATACCCGCCACTAGCACCACATCGCGGTAGTTGGGTTGAATAAACTCGGGAAGCTATATATCCCGCCTTCTTTCAACTCGGTGATCCAGGACGGGAACCTACCAGTCTTCTTCCCTCCTCTTCATCTGGCTTCGGACAGTCTTTAGCTCTCCCTTCTGCCTCTGTGCCAAACTTGTTTCAGTCACAGCCACGGAACACATCAGGAAGACGCCATGCGCAGGACATTGTGGTCGCCTCCTTCTACCCGGCCTAGTCGCTGGTTGCACCCAATTCCTTCTCATTCTCAGCGATGGCAAGAGACTTTGGCGCGCTTCTTGACTCCTCTCACCCTTTGGATATGTGGCATGTAATTTTTCATCTTTTATTGGCTCTTCCTTCCATTGACTCCTCTTTCTAATACGTGGCCATACTCTTTTCTCTGTTTTTGCAGTTTCCGTCATTCTCCGATATGGGTATTTTGGGGATTCTCGTCTCGCGCTTGGACCCAGTTCATCCCGTCTGGTGGAAGCAGGTTCTTTGTTTGTAAAACAAATTGAAGTAAAAGATTATTATAACAGTGAAGTTCTTGTTTATGCATTTGATGAGAAACCTGAGCATACTGTCCTCGCTAATTGGAGTGCATCTAATTTCCTAGTTGTTGCGGCATACACTCGCAAGGTAACCAATTCAACATTTTATTTCGAAACCTTCCAGAATGTTAATTTGGGATGCATTGAGAACAGTTTGTTCAAATCATCCGAAGAATGCCTCTGAAGATACCGTGTTTTCATTCCCAGGGATATTCCCTGTGGCTAAATAAGGGCTCCACGATCCGCATGAGTTGGGAAGCACCGACCAGATATTTAAATAAGCTAGAAGGGGTCGTGATTAAAGGTAGCCTGAGACGAATTCTCCCGCTTTCCCTTCTCGTTGTTTCTACAACCTGACCCCCAGATTTAAAATGCTTGAGCATTTCAAATTTCTCTAATTACAGATGCATCCTTAATTTACAGGAGAACGAAGGTTCAAACGACTGCAGCCTAAACAAGCATCCCTTAATGCAATTGCTGACCCTGAGATTATTTATGGTAATTGACTTTCACTATCAAACCGTTTTTGATAACCATAAACACTTACTTCTTGACTTAGGTAAGACGGTCGGGCCTTCATTTGGCCAATTATTATCCTTTGATATTATGTATATTGCCAGGTAAAGAAGCTGAATACCTCATCGAGGAAGACGATAGATACCACATCGGGGTTCTAAACATGAATGGCGGGAATATTATATTGACCATGCATGTTAATGTTTCGGCAATGGTTTATGATACCTCCAAAGCCAAGAAGCTCTGCTCTACTGCAAACGGATTATGTAGATTGAGTCTCCTATTCCCTCACACGCATTACCTAACTCTAATGACAACCAACAACGTAAGCCGCAGTCACGTGTTACCTATCTGTGTGTGTGTCGGTTTGGATCTTCACCAATTAAATTGAAACTGTTCATAAAAATTGACAGCAGGGAGTCCGTGGGGATTGGTCAGTCGAAGTTTCTTTTGTGGCTCGTGCGCTTACTTACATAGCACTTTTAGGTACGTTGTTCAATAGCACTATAACAGCCATAGTGAAGCGGAGGTCTAATTCTAACTATATAATTGATCCCTGAGCTGCCTCCCCTTTTCAATTTGTAGGATTTATTGTTGCTGTTATATTTCTGATACTGAGATATCTTGGAGCCTGCGGCGGCAGTGACCACAATCAGAGTACTAATGTGATCACAGACACGTATCACACAAGTATTGTGGCCACATCACGCGAGGTCACCGAAACTGAGCCTATGATGCCAGTGAAAAGCATGACATATGGAACAAATGAAGATGAAGATGATGATAATGAATCAAGAGCATCAAGCACCTCTTCAGAGGAGTTATATGATGAAAAACTTTGTGTCATTTGTTACGACGAACTGCGCAACTGCTTCTTTATTCCCTGCGGCCATTGTGCTACTTGCTATGACTGTGCACAGAGGTACACAAATTTCAAGATGTTAATATGATTTTAACCTGTTAATAAATCCTAGGAGTTTCTCATCAAGGTGCATTTTGCAGGATTATGGAAGGCGACAGCAAAGTTTGTCCCATATGTCGGAGGCTTATTCACAAGCCACGAAGATTATTCCATAGTTAGGCGCGTCAACACGCAATGATGTTGATTATTGAACAAGAGGGATGTTGTAGATAGTGGAAGAAAATTTGAGAAGAAATTAGGACATTGTGATACTATCAACTTCATTGTGTGCGATTCAATTTGTAGCTCAATGTATCCATGGCTTTCGAATTTTTTTTTGCATTAAGCTGCAGGATACGAGTTGCTCTGATTTTGAGATCTTCTTGCAGATTTTATTGAGAAAATATCATCGAGAAATTATTATCATTATGACAGATATCTTGAGTATTGTTAATTCTCTGTGAGTATAGGTTAGTTATAAAGTACTACCTCTGATCCTTAATATAAGATTCTGTTTGATTTTTATTTTGATCATAAATATAAGACCAAAATCTATTTTGTCTCTCATACTTACTCAATTTTTTTTAAGATAATCTTTCTAATAATTATAGTTCCAGTTAATACACTTGATTAGCAAGGATATTTTAGGAAAGATAACACTTATTTAGGACAAATAACTAACTCAATTTATTTCTTTGATTTTTTCAAACTAGTCAACTGGCTCTTATAATTAGAACCGGAGGCAGTACATGCATATAATTTCAGAATGAAGTTCATTCTTTCTTTACATTTGATTCATTTAAACTATGTGATAAACCTCGCCAGAGATGTGGACCGATAGTACAGAAATAATGCAATATTGTTTACATTCAATCCGGAAGAACAAATTAAGCAGAAAGTACTAAATTGGTTATACTGATGATCTGCTCAGCTCCTTCTGTTTAGATTCCCCAAACACCCCCTCAAAAAAAAAATCTTAATGTGGTTGGCTTAATAATGATGGAACTGTTTGATATTGAACATTTTCAGTGTCTCGGCTCCACTTCTAACGCGGACAACCCGATAATAATTATAGAACATTTAACTGTCATGACGAATGACCTTGTTGCTGCAAAAATTGATTGCATTCGGCCGCTGAAAAGTGTGTCTTGTGTGTTGCTACTGTCTGCTCTTCACATCCTAATTTGTTCTTTGGAAGCTTTTGCTGCAAAAAAATTGACTGTATTCATAACAAAGGACCAGTAAACAGACTAATACCAATGCCTGTCTTCTCATCCATTACAGATGATTTCTCCCCCTTTCACAGAGACCTACTGTGCGCTAAAGCATTAACGGATGGTCCATATAATTTGAGGTAGAAAAATTGCGCACAATCAACCCCTTTCCTTCAAGAAGATTTAAGACCTTATTGTCAAGTGCTGTAAAAGGAAGGGACGCCACAAAGAACAGGGAAGCTAACTTGAGATGGGAAACAGAGATCTTTAAACTGAAATTAACTGCTCTAATACTGCACTCTGACTGCTGGGATGAGGAGCTTACCTATTAGCATGTACTCCTCTGGTCCCATTTCTAGTCCTATTTATAGGACAGAAAGAGAAGATTTCTTTTGGTCCTATTTATAAGTTATTTTATCAAATTTTCAGTATAAATGTACTATTTTATCCTTTATTTGTTATGGTGTGGATAGTTTTGTCTTTTGAAAGGTATATGTATTAAATATGGGTAAAGTTGAAAAATTGTTATATTTTAATGGAGAGTTAATGCATTTTAAATTTTTTCTTGGTCTATGAGAAATACGCTGGAAGTGCTTATAAATAGGATTAGAGGAGTATGAACTAATTTGCAGCATCAGATTATAGTAATCTCTCAAGTCGCCATCGCAGCGAATTTTCCTGATCCATACTGAAATGAATGTTGGCCGAGCAATCCAAATTTGAGTGGAGAACAAGTGTCGTTTTTTGTGGAGTTAAATGACAGGAACCTCTCAGTTAGCAGCAATTCTAAATTGGGGAAACTGTGAAGGAATAAAAGAGCAAGATGTGCCATATGAGTAGGGAAGTTGAGAAGGGCAAGTGATTGAGAGAATCAATAAGCAGAACCAGTGAAAGTGGTGGAGCATAACTCGCTCGCTTTCTTACGTGAACCAAATCCAATGTCTACGGTCACGGTTGCAGATACGAGAGAGTTAGGATGCCAAAGTCCGCTATATCAAACAGCAGGACACTGTAGTGCTTTATTGTGGGATAAAATACTACACTGTGCCTTCAGATATTATTCTCACCGCCAACTGTTGACTCAATCCATCCACCTTCACAATCATAGCTCACCAAGCCTTCTAATGACATCTCTTTCTGTGCCGAAGGATAAATATATGAAAAAAATTGTCTGGTAAAACATAAAATAATTTTTTTAAGGAAATGCCGGAGACCCGCTAATTAGTCTCTTTGTTGGGGGTGTAAGGCATACTGTAAATGTGTTTATGATTTTTTTAAAAAGAAAATACTACTTTCAGTTTTTAATATAAGAGCTAATTGACTAATTTGAGTAGATTAAAAAAACTAATTAAATTAGTTATTTGTAATAAATAGATGTTGTCTTTTTTAAAATATTTTTGGTAATCAAGTTTATTGATTAGAACTACCATTAATAGAAAGATTATCTTAAAAAAATAAATAAATATAAAAGATAAAATGAAATGAGATCTCATATTTAAAATTAAAATAAAAATTAAATAAGTTCTCATGTGAAAAACTAAAAGTAGCATATATCTATTTAATTTGGCTAGTTTCACGCATTGTCAATTACAACCACAATTAAGAGTAATTCTCGAAAGGTCTTTTTGTTGGTCACTTGGCTGGTTGGGCTTGGGCTTACTTTTGTTTTTGAAGAGGTTAAAGTTACTCTATTACCCTCATCTAGTACCGATCATCTCGTTTTCTAATCCACCTGGGTGGCACACGCCACTTTCCATTTCATCATTCATTTCAGTCTTCAGCTGGCCAGATGCGCTGTGCGAGGGACCTCTATTTTGGCACTCTAGACTCGATGGTAAAACGAAGCCTTCTTTTTTGTCGGATTAGAGTTCCACAGCTGGGTGACACGCCCTCCTATGTAGTGGTTTATTTTCAAACATTAGGTAGTATTTGGTAACAAAGTTATAGTAAGCTATATTATTCGCATAAAAAATTTTGAGATTTTAAAATCATATGAACTTGAACAAAATAGTATCGTTCATAATTTATAAAAGTCGCCCTATTTTAAATATTTTATTTTTGAATTATAATAACAAATGCATTATAATTATTAAACAAATATGAGGTTGGTTTTATTTTTAAATATATCAAATAAGCTCTAATAATAATGACGTAATATACAATAATGCACAATAAAATGACCTAATTTGCAGAACACGCGATGCCTCCATCCTCCTTTTTTTCTCTCCTTCTCACGTACTCTAGACCAAACATGCCTTTTATGGCGACATATATGGTACTTGCCACCGAAACTTCTTCCAGTGACGAATTTAGCCCGTCATTGTTCACGTGTCGGCTTGCTATTGGCCCGCTCCACGCCATTTGGCGATTGGGCTCCATGCGACGGTTATAAATGCTGCAATCCACGGCGGCAGCTGATCGTCAGCCTCCACTTTCGCCTCCGCCTGCACGGCCACTGCCCTGCCATATAACGCGCGCCATAGTTGCACACTACTCCTTTCCAAGCCTGCAGGAAATTTAAATTGAATAAACCTAGAATTTTTTGACCCTGCAATTCAAACTCTATCCCGGCAGCTTGGCAATGACCCCGCTGTCCCGAGAAGATGAATCCCCAGAAGACGACAAGGACGAAGAAGCCAACCGCTTGCTTCAATCTGAATCCCGGCCTTCGTCTTTGGACGACGAAGAGGCCGCTTATGAGGCGGGGGAGAAAATTCTCATTGTAGATTTAGACTCTATCGATGATAAGGATTCGATGACGGTGCCGCCTTTCTCGTGGAAGAAGCTATGGCTATTCACGGGACCGGGCTTCTTGATGAGCATAGCTTTTTTGGATCCGGGAAATCTCGAAGGAGATCTCCAGTCTGGAGCCATCGCCGGCTACTCCCTGCTCTGGCTATTGATGTGGGCCACAATTATGGGATTGATGATTCAGCTTCTTTCCGCAAGGATCGGGGTGGTCACTGGTCGGAACCTGGCGGAGCTGTGCAGAGACGAATATCCAAATTGGGCTAGGTTGGTGCTGTGGTTCATGGCCGAGCTGGCCTTGATTGGTGCTGACATTCAAGAGGTCATCGGGAGTGCCATCGCAATACAAATTCTTAGCCATGGGGTGTTGCCGCTTTGGGCTGGAGTCGTGATTACTGCTTCCGATTGGTAGGCTCTTGCATATTTTATACTTCTTGGTCAAAAAGCTTATCCTTCCGTGGTTCCAAATCTCATAAGGCGTCATACTGTTTGTTTTAGTTCTGAGAATCGTGTTAATTACATAGCGATTCCTTGCTAGTTTTAAGATTACAAATTAAACGGACTTTGCAAGGCAATGATTATAGTTGTTATAACGAAAAATGAGATTTTGATTATGGTAAAAGCATAAAGCAATGAATATCACCAATTTATGGGGAACGAGATTCTTTATCCGCAGATGTTTGGTCACGTTACATGCTGAATTATATGGATCTAATGGAGCAACTTGGACTTGTAATTACATTTCGAAGCAAGTTCTGGATTCTGCTTAGACGTTATGTATGAATTTGTGTAGGAGTTCAGAATTCCTAACTGATTCCGTATGTTAAGAACTTGCTTTTAAAGCTGTAATTATAGTTTTCCACAAGTATACTCAGAAGTAAAACTAGAGAAAACAATCTAAAGCAACATTTCTGATGATCGCAGCACTAGCAACGGCTGTAAGAATGCCCAATTTTAGACACGAAACACATGCCAAGAGTATTATCTAAGATAAATTTTTGTTAAATATCGTAAACATCATGATTCAAGAAGGACGTGAAAAATGTAATTATTAAGGCCCTATGAGTACGAATTTTCTTATATGAATGTCAATCCATTTTGTAATACTTATATCTCTGGCATGTCAAAAGTCTCTAGAACACATATCGGTGACAAGTTGAGCAACAGATCATGCCTTGTCTGTAGGACTCATTTTTGGGTTCATATTCAATATCAAAATTTTCTGCTACAGATTGCATTCTCGATGATGATATTGTCAATATTCCAACATCTCTTTATTTACTTTAACTGTTCTTCTGTGATGGCTTTGTTAGAACGTTGGTTGTCTATAACACCTTGACGTGTTTATTTTCAAACTTTTAGTTGGGCCATGCCTTAGTACTTTTAACTCTTTAATTATGGCATCCCTGTGCCTTTAAATTGAACTGCCTTAGCCCACCCATATCCTTAAACGTTGATCCTGTTTTGTAATCATACAGTTTAGATTCAACAGTAACAACTAAGAGTGTTTATGATTATTGTAGTTTACGATTGAGTGTTTGTCAGAGAACCATTATCCACCAGTTCTTCTCCTCTTAGACCAATTGTCCTTTCCGGGTTCCTATTTTCTGGATCCAGTTTATACAAGTCTTGTAATTAATTGCTTGGGAACATCTTAATTTTCATGTCTTAAATTTGTCTAACTTTAGTTTATTTATTCTGTGCTGAACAGTTTCTTCTTTTTATTTCTTGAGAATTATGGAGTAAGGAAGCTGGAAGCTGTTTTTGCAGTTCTCATTGGGACAATGGCCCTTTCTTTTGCCTGGATGTTTGGTGACGCCAAACCTAGTGGAAAAGAACTCATGATGGGTATATATCTAATAATGGAGTTGTGAATATAAATTTTATTTATTTTATGGCAAAAATATGTTTCTTCTGTACGATTGCTGCACCCTCCCCTGTGCTGTTCACGAAGAAAAGGATTTTACTGTTCTTGGTATAACTATGTTTCATCCCTCCTGCAGGAATTTTAGTTCCAAGACTTAGCTCAAAAACAATTCGTCAGGCTGTGGGGGTTGTGGGTTGCGTCATAATGCCTCACAACGTGTTCTTACATTCTGCTTTGGTGCAGTCAAGGGAAATTGATCCCCGTAAGAAAGGCCAGGTGCAGGAGGCTCTTAACTACTATTCCATTGAGTCAACAGTTGCTCTTTCAGTCTCCTTCATCATCAACCTATTTGTCACCACAGTTTTTGCTAAGGGGTTTTACAGTTCAAAGCAGGCCAGTAGCATAGGATTGGTTAATGCAGGGCAGTATCTTCAGGAAAAGTATGGAGGAGGGCTCTTCCCAATTCTTTATATATGGGGTATTGGGTTATTGGCAGCTGGGCAGAGTAGCACCATTACTGGCACATATGCTGGGCAGTTCATTATGGGAGGTTTTCTCAACCTTCGTTTAAAGAAATGGTTAAGGGCATTAATCACTCGAAGTTTTGCAATTCTGCCAACAATGGTTGTAGCTATTGTTTTTAATACATCTGAAGCATCATTGGACATTCTGAATGAGTGGCTGAACGTGCTTCAGTCGATGCAAATTCCTTTTGCACTTATCCCTCTGCTCACCTTGGTCTCCAAAGAACAGGTCATGGGGACCTTTAGGATTGGACTTGTTCTTGAGGTGAGTCATTGCTTGACATTATTTGTTTATTTCGCCCAATGCTTAAGATCTCTTGAACTAGTTCCTGCATTCTTCACTGTTTGAAATTGTGTTTACATTTTTTCAAACTTGGTTTTAATAAGTTATAAGAACACAATGCATTAGATGTTAAGGAAATAAGATATAATTTTCCCTTTTAGATTGTTGTCTGCAGCCACTGTTGAGATTTTCAGGTGATTCTTTGTTTAGATCAGCAGTGCTGGGAAGATCTTAATAATCAAATCGCAGAAACTATTATCTTGTCTTCGGCTATATTGTAGATGGATCGTAATAGTTTGCATATGGTGTTTGCTTTGTGGAAATAATGTCTGTGTGATATGATCTATCTTGTTTTGCCAAAACTTCAGTGTAATTAGTTCCGATCTATGTTCATTGAGATGCTTTAATTTCAGGTTATAGCAGTCCTTATTGTCTCTGAGTTCAGTAAACTGATTTTGGACATTTAAAATCATCTTAATTTTGTTTATAATGAATTTTCGTCCCTTTTTCTTCGTAGAGGGTAGCGTGGACTATTGCTGCGCTGATAATGGTGATCAATGGGTATCTATTGTTAGATTTCTTCCTGTCGGAAGTGAAAGGTCTGCTGTTTGGTTTTGTAGTTTGCTCCTGCACAGCTGCTTATGTGGCATTCATTGTATATTTGATTTCCCTAAGTGGTGCTGTTCCTTTTTCTTGGGTTAATCTACTCGCCAAGAGATTTTCTCTCTCTGAGGTTTGACTCGAGAAATTCGTACATCATGAAAGAAGCCGGAACTAGTACTGCAAACTCTGCTCGACAATCTTACACATGGACTTTTGCTTCATACATCAAGAAGAATGTGTCTCCAACCTTGTGACATGCATTAAAGGGAGCACGAGATTGGACAATTGAGAACACTATAGTCAACCAGACTTAATCTCGCGAAGTAGTTGCACATGTTACCTTCCTGCTAACAAGATGAAATATCCTTTTCCTAGGAAGATATGGACTGTGCACCATTGCATGACTTATTCTTTTCATACGTCAACTGCTTCTGTATTCTTTGATGTAAACAAATTGTACGTAACAGTCAAAACAATGTTTGATTTCATGAGGGGACAGAATAGATTTTCCTAGCTGTGGATGGCTGGGGAGAGCACAGAGATCAGTTGTAGGGCTAGACAATAGATTCCTTTGATTTTGTCTAAATTACAGCTAGTAATAATCTCATTTGGGGGTGCTATTCAGTTAATGTGAAATCACCAGCGAGCTGTTAGAATTGTAAACTCTTACTAAAGTTACAGGCTGACTCTGCTGAGAATTTAGGAACGCATAAACTGAAGGGTTGGGAAATGAAGGTGCGGCTGGCCAACGAAGATGAACAAATTGTTGCCACCTTTTTGAACCGCGATGCAGCTGATGTCTGCTTATTGAGTTACATGACATGCTCATCTCTATTGTTTCAAATTGGTTCTTCATGTTCTTAATGAAAAATTCTCAGTTAAGATCTTTAAATACTCCAGGAAATGGTACAATTTGAATACAAGATCAATACCAAACGCGGTAGGTTCTACGTTGGACCTCCTGTGATTTCTAATGTTCAATGGGCCAATTAAATCGTAGGGACACGATGGATAAAATAGCACCTTCAAAATGAACCATTTCCTGGCATGAGGGATACCAAATATTGACGTGCTAACATGAGCATGCAAATGAGAGATGACTGATCAAGACAAATATTATACCTGAACTAAATCAATCACTGCTAAATTTGAATTGGCCTTTTCTTTTTTCTTTAAAAAAAAAATCGAATTTGCTCGTCCGCACCTATGTTCTGCTCTGAGCATGAAAATTCAAGTGTGTAATTAATTCAGAATAAAATTAATTTTGACAGACTCATGGTTCTTTCGTTTGCAGAATAGGGTAGCGGAGCACATGACCGCGACTCACATGGGTGATGGGTCCTATTTGCTATCTTTCGGTTTTTAATATATGATTTTTTTTACTTGGCCTGAGATATAGAATCCATTTTAAATTCAATTTAATTTATCTATCAGTGTTCGCAGGCCCAGCTATCTTATTTCACAGTACCGTAACTTTTTAATAGTGCAATTTTATTTATGACTTTTTAAAATTTGGTGTAATTACACCTTTTTTATTTAAAATAAAATTATATTTTTCTTTTTATTTATCTTAACCATTAAAATTAATAATTTTAATTTCTTTTATCAAATTATGAACAACATTCATATAAAGTAACCAAATTTTGCACTAAATTTAATAAATTATGGGTAAAATTGATCACCAAAAACTTACAAATAAGATCATGGCATTCGGCCCACTTTTACCCAATTAAAATTATTAACTAATTTTGACTTGTTTAGTTAATAGCGTCTCCTCTTTTCCCCCAAAAAAAAAAAGTTAATAGCGTCTCCTATTAATGGTAGGAGGAAGTACACGGCATATTGGCGAAGCGGGGCCGGGAGTCTGTCCTACTAATCAGTAATTAATCATCAAAAGAAATAATTTCAAGTACTAATCACTTTGGCTTTTATATTATTAAGAATAACTAATTAAATACTGCCGTGCGAGACAGCTTGTGGCGCAGGTCATCAATGACATTTGATTAGACTATCAAGCTTCCACAACCAGACCAATAAAAAACCTTTAACCTTTTTTGCTTGGATTAAATAAAGGGAAAATCCCAAAAAAAGTCATTGAAATATGGAAAATGTCAGATTGGGTCCTTAAATTTCAAAAATGATAGAATGGGTCATTGACCCAATCTGTCATTTGTAAAATTCAGGCGAATTGATAATTTTGCCTTCATTTATTCATTCACTACAATGATTCAAGGAATCACTATAAGAGTTTAGGTGTTACCTAAATTCGTGTAGCGAATAACTACTCACTTTTTCATAGTCAAGTGTCTTGTTATTAATTACAACTAATTCTGTAATCACTAAAACAATGTAAGCATTACCAAGATTTGTGTAAAGAATAACTACTCATTTTTTCATAGTCAGGTATCTTATTATTGTCAGGTACCTTATTATTAACTATAACGAATCTTGTAATCACTAGACAGTATAAGCATTACTTAGATTTGTTTAGAGAATAACTACTCACTTTTGCTCAGGGGCAAAAATGTCAATTCGCCTGAATTTCACAAATGACAGATTGGGCCAATGACCCATTCTGTCATTTTCGAAATTTAAGGACCCAATCTGGGATTTGGTATATTCCAGGGGCTTTTTCTCGGATTTTCCTTAAGCGTTCCAAAATCATCCATAACAGTATATAGAATTTTTACGATTTATATACGATTTATATATAGATATATATATATTTATATATATGAGATTGTCCTAGTAGCATTTAACGAAGAGAATGAAAAATATGAAAAATAGAGCAAAGTAAGACTTTAAATAAATAATTAAGTAATCTCTGGTAAAAAATAACTAAATAATTAAGTAATGATTATTATTCTGATCCCTTGCTACAAAGCAGAAAAGCCAAAAGCTGACTAGAAGGTTCCGAAGTAAGAAAGCAGATTGGCATACAAAGACAAGGTTATTGGACCATTTTGTATTGGCTACGTTTCTGGCGGGCAAGCACAGAAATACGGCACTGCTAGGATATGTAGTATCCACCAAAAGATTCTCAAAACCATTTTCCGAAGCCTAGTTTATTAGTCTGAAACCAGTTTACTACTCTCTCTCCGTTTTTGAGACATTTGATATTTATGGTATGTTTCTATATATAAGAAACACTTAAAAGTTATCTCTGTTTTTTTATGTTGATTTTCTATTTTACTCCGATTTATTGTCTCCAACTCACACTCTCTCTCCCTCTCACTTCTTTTTTTTTAATAATTTAATTGTTCTCTCTCATGCTCTCTCTCCTTATTAATGAAGGCATTTTTAGAAAAAAAATTGTACTTTTTACATATTGATTGTTCTTAACTAATTTTAAATATTTTTTTTATCAACGTAATTCAGTTAGTCGTCTCTTATAATAAGAAACTGGGGGAGTAATTAATTAAATTGCTAGTAACTTGCGAGCAAGGGATAACCCATCCAGCACAACCCCATCCAAAACAAACGGCTTTGCCCCATAGAAAGGCGCTTGTTTATTCATTATCGAGAGATGTAGTTTTACATGAGATTTTCAGAGTAGAATCCATTAGCATTATTCAGACACACCGTAATGTAATACACCAAAATCCCAGTTACAACCAAATTACTAAACACATGAGCCGTAAAATATAAAATTGTACTGAATAAGGCAAGAACATGTTTAGGTCCGAGGGCCAAACATGCATGATATATATATATGTATATATATATATATATGATCAAGGGCATTTGGGCTTGCCCTTGGAGTTCTTGAGATCTCTGTAGCAAGGACACTCGTGCTTGTTGCCATAAGTCCCAGAAGGCACGCACTGGCACTTTTCGCAGCAGATCCCACAGAACCTCAAACATCTACGCTGCCTCCCCGCCTTCGAACATCTTTGCCCGCACTTGGAATCGCAGAACGCTATATGTCACGTACATCCCGCAACACAACAGATCAGTATATATGTACCGTTCCATGTAAAGCAAAAGAAAAGAAAACTAGAAATTAATGACGAGCGAAGGAGTGGAGCTTACGTGATCCAGCCATCGTGACCTCAATGAAAGAGGAACTCAGAACAAGGCAGGCCAGCAGGAGAGTTGCAAAGAGCAGCTTCATCTTGTCACTTTATCCGTGTGTGTGTGTGTGTGAGAGAGAGAGAGAGAGAGAGAGAGAGAGAGAAGTGATCAGAAACTGAGGGATATGTTTGGAGTATAGTGTGATGTGAATGGGGGAAGGCAGGTATTTATAGCAAACTAGGTGGAGTTAGGTGGGAACTTAGGAAGATGTTAGCGTTAGAGAACCTATTTAGTGACTTCGCAAAGATGCAAGCGAGTGACAGCTAGCTTGAGAGGGCACGATGCGCATCACATGCAATTCTTATTGGCATATTGCCTGCCATATTAGTTGCATTATATGACTTGTTATTTGCTTTTGGGGAAGAAAGTGAAGAACCCACCCACAGGGATCGATGTGTGCGCGTGTGTGTACACGTGGCATATGCTTGTGGTTTTTCTGTGTTTTGATGTCTTTCCACCTTAGCGCCAACTGGATCTTCCATCCCCGGCCCGTTTCCTCAAAATCTCTCCAACTCATCATACTAGAATGACCCCAACAACCTTGCGTGTCAAGTTCCATCGAATCCGGACGGACTCCCTCATCTTTACGGCAAAGGTAATTAATCCCATTGCACCGAAATAAAAACACCGCGTTGCATCATGTCATCTCGACAGTTTACTATTTTGAAGGCCTCGGACATGGTTCTTGTGACGCAGCCCGGGATACGCAGATAAAGTAGCAGAACCATATACACGTGTATGTTTGATTCTACGACGTCGACGGATCAAGTGTTTCTCAAATAATTATCAAAAAGGACAGGACAAATTATGGTATTAGGTGTAAACAATGCATTCAATAATCCTGTTTACCCCTCCAATCTTATTTTTCCTTTTAAACTCAACCACCCTTTCAATCTCTTTCCGATACAGTAAAATAGATCTGGGTTAATCTTATTCTCCAACGGCAACGAAATTTTACGCCACTTTCATGACCAAAAGGTTTTCGTTTTGAGCACTTTATGAAAAAGCAAATAACGCGGAGAAAGGCAAATGAAGAGATAAGGATGAGAGGCTGGGGAGAAAAGAGAAGGAGTAGAGTAGGGAGGGAGGAAGGTGAACAGCTGTCGAGGGAGTTATCATATATATAGGCATGGATGAGACCTGCCCTAGTAAGTTGCTTTTAGTTACGCGTAGGAACACTCTAGAATCTGGATTCTTATGGAAACAGGGGCAGGGAGAGTTGCCATCAAATGCGCCCATGGTCCCTTCCTCCCTCTGTTTTCATCATTACATCGCCATCATCCATCGTCTTATTCTCTACTCTTGCTTTTTGAGAAAGTGGTTTGGAATCATCTCATTCATTATAATAACGCGTGGATTAGCATTAACCAATAGATAAACTTCATCAGTTACCAAGCCACGATCACTTGATATGAAGTCATTATTTATTGCACTCGCTCTATTACAATAAATTGGGTCATTTCATTAAATAAATTATAATGGGTTGAAATATCTAATTTGATTATTTGGGTTAGATTGATTCCCACCCCATATATTTCAATATATTTTGGTACTGTTACGAGTGTTTTTTCCCCCAAGTACGAGTATAAAATGATTAGAAAATCAATCACAACTTTATGAGTGTGTGGTGAGTCTATCCCAAAAAATCCAAATCTAAATTATTTTAAATTTAGTGAATGTTTTCAGATGCGATTAATCCAAAACAGTATTAAAAAAAAAGAAGGAAAATTTGTAGGGAAAATGTTAGAGCTGTATATAATGCTTGTTCAACATATATTGGCACTGAAACTACCTAATTTTTCAATCTTAATCCGCCAGCCAATATATCCTTTGATATTATAGCTTTTCACACACATAAGTGTTTGAACTGCGATATCACGGATGCAAAATGGAACAACCAGCTCAAGTCTACAGCTTGTCACATAAGAAAGAAAAGAGTTCCCTTTTTCTGCAACACATAAATGCAGTTAACGTGGCAAGTAATGGGTACTAACAAATAATCAGAAGCTTAAAGCACAAAATATACAGAAAGAAAACTGCAATAGAAAAAGAGGAAGAGGGAGACTACGAATTACTGACTTTCATGAGCAGAAGAGTAAGCCATTGGATTATGAATTGACTTGCATAGGCAGTTAGCCTCATCATGCGCCCTTCAGACTGCCGTTCAGTTTTCACTTCCCATGCTTGGTTCACATGGGAACTTGGAAAGGACAAAGTAAAGCCAGAAGTAGAAGAAAATCAGAAGCAGTGCAGAAAAAAGAGGATCGGCTTCAGAAGAGGGAGATTTGGCAAACACTACTTTCTTCCTCGCCAATGCGTCATGGCGCTATCAAGTTCGCGACCATCTGCAACTCAACTCATAACGGCTTGTCTCAAGCCATTCCCAACGTTTAATAATTGTTGTCAAAGGTTCGACTGCCACTGCCAAGTACGCAGTGAACCTTTCTTTCTTATCTGTGTTCGCTTCCTTTCCTCTCCATCGATCGGGCATTGAAGAAGGCAATGAGTTGGTGGTGGGCTGGAACTGTTGGTGCCGTCAAGGCAACTCCCTAAGTTCCTCATTCTTTCTATTTCTGATTCTACTCTAACGTCATCTCTGAGTGTAAGCCTTTTGGCTCTTGATATCTCCTTTTGCAGAAGAAATCGGATGAAGATGAAGGTCGAAGCATCCCGAGGGTGGGGCTGGTAGGTGATCGGCGTTACCGTCATCGTGGGTAAGAGCTTAGCTGAGATCCTTCCTCTGGGCGACACACCGGCAGGTCCCTGGAAGGTCTACGGCGTTGCACGACGTCCCCGACCCAACTGGAATACCGACCACTCCGTTTGATACGTCCAGTGCGATGCTTTGGATCCAAACGAAACGCAAACTAAGCTCTCCAAACGGACAGATGTCACCCACATCTTCTACGGGGCATGGGTCAACAGGCCCACCGAGCCCGAGAACTGCGAGGTCAACGGGGCTATGCTCAGAAAGTCCCTACAAACGCATCGAAGCTCCGCCACACATGCCTTCAGACCGGGGCCAAACACTACAAAGGCCCGTTCGAGTTATTCGGAAAGATCCAACCCCACGAACCGCCTCACACAGAGGATATGCCACGACTAGACGGTCCCAATTTCTACTACACCGGGGAGGACATTCTGTTCCAAGAGGCGGCGAAGAAAGAGGGACTAAACTGGTCCATTCATCGTCCTTGTGTGATGTTTGGGCTTTCCCCATTCAGCTTGATGAATATAGAAGGCACACTCTGTGTGTACGCCGCCATTTGCAAGCACGAGGGTGTTTCCTTATTATTTCCCTGTAGCAGAGCGGCTTGGGAGTCTTTTTCTGCTGTTTCAGACGCAGACTTGATAGCGGAGCAGCAGATATGGGCAGCGTTAGACTCAAATGCAAAAAACGAAGCGTTTAATTGCAGCAATGAGGATTTGTTCAAGTGGAAGCATCTGTGGAAGGTGTTGGCTGAAGAGCTCGGCATTGACAATCACAGGTTCAAGGATGGTTGGAATTTGAAGTGGAGGGAGATGATGAAGAAGAAAGGCGGGACGAGATTGTTGACAAGTATGAACTTAACCCCTTGAAACTCGAAGAGATTGGTCACTGGTGGTTTGTGGAGACTATGATGGCAGACGAGCCATTGATTGACAGCATGAATAAAGCCAAAGAGCATGGCTTCCCTGGATTCAGGAACAACCAACAATTCGTTTCAGCATTGGATAGAGAAGACCAAAGAGGGTGTTTGGTAAAACTCAAAAGTGCTTCTCAGAAACACTTTTTCGCAAAACGAGACAAATTTTTTTACATGTTTATTTCGTAAACCGTAAAAACACTTTTGAAATTATGGTTTGGTTTCTATTGAAACATCCCCTTAGTGTGTGAAATGGAAGTCGATTGGGAGGAAATATATTAGATTTCGCCGAGACAATAATATATGACCCAATGTTTTTGGCTCGAGAATGAAAACTAGAGCTATTGGAGACGAGAGTGGCTTCTTTGAATATATAATCCCCCGTGCATGGCATGCTTAGGTACCACAGAGTTTATGTATAATGAGGTTTAACTAACTAACTGCTATGGATCCTTCTTAATTAGGAGCAGCATCAGTTAACACCGAATATTGATATGGAAGAGCTTATTGAAATTTTTTAGATCCGCCATGGTAAAGAGAGCTTATTGAAGTATTGATCGAAATTATTTGTGAATAGTGGAATAGCTAAAAATGATTTATATCTAACAAAAATAATTAACATCAGTTCTTGAATCTAACAGGCTTGGTTTAATTTACAAACTGATAATAACATGTCACAGTTCTTATGCTTATTTTTTGTACTCTCTGCAATATATGCTGAACTCCTCTTAATTCGATTCCAATATGAATGCTTGAGATCTAATTTATTGAAATGTGGCTATTAAATTTCTCCTTATGTATTTCTATTTATATTAAAGATAAATTTTGTTGTCTCTTTTACTTTTATAAAATGTAAACAACATATATCTCAAAAGAGTTTTCGAGAAAAACAAACAATTGTGTAAGTCATGTGTATATTATAGAGTTTGTATGCACGCGCTAGAGTAGAATTATTAAAAACTAATTACTACCTCCGGTTCTTAATATAAGACCTTATTTGATTTTTATTTTAGTCATAGATATAAGACCCTAATCTATTTTGTTTCTCATATTTGTTCATTTTTTTAAAGATAATATTTCTAATAATGATAGTTCTAACTAATAAACTTGATAAACAAGGATATTTTAGGAAAAACAACATATATTTATTATAAATAACTAACTTAACTTATTTCCTTAATCTACTCAGATTAGTCAACTAGCTCTTATATTTGGAAACGGAAGTAGTATAAATTATAATCATTATCCAATGAACTATTATTAATTTTGATCTTAATTTTTTAATCTTTCCGTGCATCCCACGATCAAGATATAGTTTTGTCAAAAATACAAAAACTGAAATCTGAGCAAACACGTGTTTTTAATATTATTTTCATCCTGGAAAATGCGGATGAGCTCGGCCAAGACGAAGACAAAAGAAATATAGGACCATAGGGGTCCCGCTTCAGGATCCAAACCCAACATAGAAGGCCATTTCATGTGGGCAGGGGAAGTATGGGCCTTTCCTTGCCCTGAGCCATACTCTCTGACTATAAGTCCGACTTTAGTTCAGTCCACTTTTGGAAAAGTCCGTCCGCCCCGTGCTTTTGCTTGAGCCATCTCACCGGAAAGAAATGGTTCTTACAAACTTCACCGGTGCTGGTGTTGGATTCGGTATACCTTAATTTCCTGGGAGTTTCCTTTGTGGCGTTTTGGCTATCAAGATTTCTGTGAATTCCGAGTCTTCAGTTTCTACCTGACTGTGAATTTGTGTTTTCAGGTTTCGGAATTGGTTGCGGTTTTGGTGTAGGATGGGGTTTCGGAGGTTTGTCTTTTCCTCCCATACTCAATTTCCAGTTCATTTTCTTTTCTACGTTTTGCGAACTAGGAATAGGTCAGACGCTTTTCTATTCATTCATCCGTCCACGTACAAAGCAATGCCTAAACTTCATCCTACACTGTTGTGATCTCATATGCTCTGATAAATACTGAGATCAAAGATTCAGAGATGTGGGGCATTTTTTGACCTATCGAGTGAACATTGTGCTAACTCTTTAATCATTCATCATGTCTAGGTCTTTAGGCGATGCAGGTCATTCAAAAGTTGTCACTTCAACACAAATATCCTTACTGTGGTTGCATAATAATGAAAATAGAGCATTTTCCTAAATCATAATTGTCTCTTCTCGCTTCCTTATATTTGGCCCAGCTTTATGTTCTATCGCCGGCCTCCTATCTCTCTCATTTCGTTTCAACGATGACTATTCCACATTTATTGAACATTCTGGCTGCTAGCTATCTAGGTTATAAGATATAAGCTATTCTATTATGTTCACTTGGTACTCTTGGAAGTTACTTTCTCAAGCTTCTTATATTAACGCTTAGGAAGTCATATGTGGAATTTAAATTTGCTTGGATGTGGGAGAGCTAGAAGTCTTGATTTGATTATAAAAGTCTTGCATTGTCTTTATCCGGCTTCTGGCTAGAAACTTCGTTGAGTTAGAATTTGTTGGCAACTTGACATAACTAGATGACGGGAAACTTCTATTTGGATTTTAAAATTTCTGAACTAAATATATGAAAATTTTCATTTATGCTCACTACTACTGGTCTTTAAAAGTCGATTATCTTCACAAGATTCAAATAATGATGAATCTATTAGAACCTAGAAGAAAGATCTATTGTCTGTCTTTTGAGTTTTGACTATCAGGGATAGCAAACATGAAATAGACTGATGAGCATGGTTGCTGCACTTTCACCTTTAGCCTCCAAAGTGATTGCTTTGGCAGTCTCCATACTTTTTGATGGCTGTGGTGTCAAGCTTGGCAAAAGGAGCATCCACTTTTTTTATAATATTAATTTAACCAATGAAAAGATGGCACCTTGCTATTGCATTCTGGGGTTTACCTCGTTCTGCCTTCCATGTGTCTATAGAAAAATGATAGTTGAATTCTCTGTTCTTTTTTCCCTTGCATCAAATTCAATTGAAAATAATTTAAATGGTTAGAGTTTTTTATGAAGAAATGAGTAGTAACGTATTCCAATTTTGCTTACTGCATTCTCGTCTCAATCAAGGGTTAAAATGAGTCTGTTATCTATAGCGGTTCTTTTTAAAGTGGCAGCTGCTCAGTGTCCACATGGTTTTCTCTCCTCTCTGCTTTGGTTCTTGAGAAAAAAATAGCCTTTCTGATGTATTTTTCCCCTGTCCCACAGGTATGCCATTAAATTTCCTGGGTCTTGGTGCAGGTATAATGTTCATGATATCATGCTTCCTTTTGTTTCTTGGGACTTTATTTTCCAAATTTATTGAGAGCTAGATTTACCACCGTGCAGGACTGTGCCGAGGAAGCTAAGATTAAACAAAAAATGCACATTTCACCTAGTAAATAGTAATTACTCATTAAATTTGATTCTAATTATATGTATATTGATGCCATGTTATTTATAACGTGGTAGCTTTTTTCCCATGAAAATCGTTTTCTTACCACAGTTTAAACCTAAGATATGGGAAGGTGCAGTAAAGTATAACTTGCACTGCATCACTTTTGTTTCAAATACCATTATCTCCTCGAAGCTTAAATCTGGTTCTGCGTCTGCCTTTCATACCTGTGGATTGTATGGAGCCTATTCTATGTGTTTTCAATTCGACTTGTCTCACTGGGCTTGATGTGGATTGGTTTTTGTTCTGAAGGCGGGGGCTGTGGGATTGGAGTAGGACTTGGTTGGGGATTTGGCACTGCATTTGGTAGTCAATATCGGTCATCAAGGATCACATTTCAAGGTGTGGAATTCGACAGTAAGGAAAAAGGCGTCAGTGACGAGTTCTCAAAGGGCAGTTCTCAAATGAGATCTTCATGAAAGTACACACCAATACTAGTAAGTTATGAGAAAGCGTTTATAGCTAGCTCCCTGCCAAAAGCTAAACAGCTCCAGGATCTCAACAGTGGCTGAGGTTGGTCTACTAGGAGCACCTCAGTTTTAAATGCTGTAATATCATTTACTCTTTATAGATACATTACAATGTGGCTTTACTTCCTTCGTGGTCCTTTTGAATGATTGCGTTATAGTTGCACCAACACTGGGTGCGTTTGATGTCAAGTTGGCATTATCTATTTTTGGTAGTTCTTTATTCAAGTGATATCCTGATGTTATGTGTTGTTAAAAATCTTAAACAGACAGAACTATGTCCAGCGGGGAGTTATGGACGCGGTTGGTGATAACGATTGAGGCATGGTACACAATCATCTGGAATTGAAGCACTATAATTCTATCGGATCGTAAACAAGGCCGAAGGTCCAAAACCAAAATAAACGAAGAGAGGCTAAGGGGGTTTTGGGAAACTCAAAACCATGGTTTCAGAAGCACTTTTCCGTAAAACGAGGTAATCTCCTCCACATATTTACTTCGTAATCCGTAAAAGCACTTCTGAAACCATGGTTTGGTTTCTATCCAAACACCCTCTAAGGCATTTCTGGTTTTGTTGATGGAAAATTTAGTGGCTGAAAGACACGACGCCAACGAGTCTAGACCGTTGTGTTTGCCTTCTAATGAATAAAAAGAATATGATTTTTTAATAATTAGCTGGAGAACCGTCCTCGCATTCGGGGGAGGATATGTGATAGAAATTGAATTATTCAGCGACATTTCTTAATCTTGAAATTAAAATATTCAAATAGCATGGCATTATATTAAAACACGCAATCTAATAGGAAATAAATATTTTGATTATTAATTATATGAATATACAGATTATTTTCATAAATTGGAGACGTGGATCATGCGTGTACTGAGTTTGGTGACTAGATTTCATAGCTTAAACAAATACAAAATTTATGATAGTTAAATAAAACAAAAAATTCTGCCGTTTTTAGCTCCGATAAAATAAAAAAGATATTTAAATTCAAATAAAACTCACCAAAGCACGTGGCTTTCTTACCCCTTGCCCTTGGATCCTCGGATAGGTTGAGAATCTGTCGTTCCACGCCGCGTGGGTCTTGCTTTCCGGAGCGGATAGACTCACCGGTAGTCAACCTAACGAAGCAGATCATCATGGGGGGTAGCTAGAGGTTCCTGTAACACCCAACTTCCACACTCCTTTCTCGCCTTACAAAACTGGCCAATTTGCTGATTGTTTCCCGAAGCACTCGCACTTGTCTCGCCTCATACTTCATACTCGTCACTTCACATCTCTCACACTCACACCACATAGCTCATAACATGGGTCAACACAAAGTTTACACTCTCTCGCAGGTTGCCCAACACAAATCCAGCAAAGATTGTTGGGTGGTGGTGTATGGCAGAGTAATAATCCCTTCTCCCTCTCTCCCTCCTCCTTTTTTTTGCACGCAGCGTTCTTAAGGCCTGACTGGATTTGGATTTGGATTTGGACTTGGCAGGTGCTGAACGTGACCAAGTTCTTGGAGGAACACCCAGGAGGAGAAGAGGTTCTGCTAGAAGTGGCAGGTAAGGATGCATCCAAGGAGTTTGATACTATTGGGCACAGCCAGGGAGCTAAAAATATGCTCTCCAAGTTCCAAGTCGGGGTACTGCAAGGTCACGCAGTTCAAGAACCAGACGGGAAGGACGATGCCACCAACGAACCCGCCAAGAAAGAGATGAGTGCCTTTGTCATCAAAGACGATTCCACCTCCAAATTCAAGGCCCTCTTTGAGTTCTTCGTTCCTTTAATGGCTGCTTCTCTCTATTTTGGCTACAGATACGTTACCAGATCTGACCAGATTGCTTCCTGAGTCATCTCATTCTCCAGAGTTCGCAGTTCGAAGTCAAGTGCGTTTAATAAGGGTTCAATTCTAAAATCTTGTGGTTCCTAGTGATCAACTTCATGGTTACGTAACACCTGTGTTGTTTTCTCTATATATTGTTTTTCCGATTAAATCTCTCCCTTTATAACACACTATAAGCTTGGGAAGGCAAACAATTGGTTCGATGTTTGTTCTTAACGACAAAACTTTTGCGACCCATATGAGCCTTGCGAATTGTTAATTACACAGGGAACGTGATAATCACGTCTTCACAGGCTAAGAAGAAGCTACTTAAGAAAGGTTAAAAAGGATGCATAGATATACTACCTCCGGTCTTAATTATAAAAGCCAGTTGACTAATTTGAGAAGATTAAGGAAGTTGAGTTAATTATTTGTCCTAAATAGATATTGTCTTTCTTAAAATATTCTTGCTAATCAAGTGTATTGACTATAACTCTTATTATTAGAAGGGCTATTTTGAAAAGAAATGTATAAATATGAGAGACAAAGTGGATTGGAGTCTTATATTTAGGACCAAAATAAAAGTTAAACAGGGTCTTATATTAAGGACCGGAAGTAGTATATATTCTTTGTACATTCTGGGCTAAAAGCTTCGTGGGAATCGTTCCAAAGCATTACAATTGCAACATGTAGCACGCCAATATGTCATCTCTATCCTACGATAGTACAACAGAAAACTATATTCGTGGACACCTCAGAAATTAGAGAGAAAAGAAAGCGAAGAAATGCAACAAAATCAGGATGAAATGGTGAGGTAGTAATTCTGCACACTAATCTCAAAGCAGTTGAAACGAATTTTAATGAATATTGACCCTCTTGGCGTGAGAATCAGAGAACCTCTCTCTCACCATGGATTATATGGACTGGTACTAACAGACTCGTTATCCTCCATGCTGCCGCCAATTACAAACTGATTGAAGATGTACCCAAATGGACCAAATCTTCTCTCTAAACTGCACGGAATGCAACTAAAACTGCAGATATAACAGCAAGGGTAAGCCGCCAAATAAGCAGTTTTGTTAAGAAAAACAAATTGCCATTGGTCACAGAAGGGGGGGGGGGAAGATACTTGGCAGAAAACACCCCGTAGGCAATTGCACAATCATAGTATGTCTGCCTTTCTTCCGTGTTAGAGGCCATAATTTCAAATATTTACCATGCATACACAGATCAAGTTATAAGAACGAAGCAGTTCAAAAAAACATAAAATAGTAATTACAGATAACTAAAAATTTCAAAGTAAATCATTGAGAGACGCAAAAGGAAGTACTAAAAGCCAATTTGGTAGAAAAAACGGTTTCAACACTAAATAGCTCCGCACTTAATTCACTGGCAATTTTCCTTCAAATTCTCCTTCATCACTGAAGTCCCTTGCAGTACTTTATGTGAAGAGTACCGAATCAGTGCAGTCTCTTTTTTTGATGCACCGGAAAGGAGAACTAAAAGACACTAAGGAGGAACGGGAACTAAGGTTTCGACAAGAAACTCAGGGGGAAGAATTTTCAGTCCCAATGCCTCGTTCAGCGCCTTCTTTGCTAGCCTATCAGCAATTCAGCATCGCCATTATCACCACAGCTAATCACAGAATCAGTGCAGTCTCTCTCTGAAACTAAAACAGTTTAGTGAAAGAGGATCGAAATGCAACAGCACCCCTCTTTCTCAAGCTTGGAGTGCTAGAAAGCAGGCATATTGAAGATTTAGGAACCATACTTCAACCTCACAACCCAGGTCGTGAACAGTGGCTCCACTCCCTGAAAGCTTAAACATCACACTTCTGGGTCACTGCACCGGTAGATTGATATCTTCTAGGCTATTTCTTCTCCTTCTTCAGTTCCCACCCTTAGATAAACTACAATCTACAAGGAAGGTTTTCAGAACAGAGTTAATCAAACAGAAGAGGTGATAATATAGGAGCCCTTGAATTTGTCGGCATAAATGTCAGAGGTGGACAAGTCCATGGAGTTAGGGGAGTGAGAGGATGGTGACTAACTGGAAGGCAGGATGGAATCTGGGAAAGAGGGTTATTTCCATCTTCAACATATCCTTCCCTGGAAAGCAGTACCTTTTCTTAGCAGGTATGAAGGAAAACACTTTGCCAAATTTAATGCCAACAGGCTTATCGAGGGAACCATATTTATGGCATACCAACACATCAAACAGAGCTCTCACTTTCCTTTTCCTTCTCCAAACCTCCTTTTTCCATGCTACAAAGTAGGCCCTAAGTTCCACACTTCATGTACTAATTCCTCGTGATTCTTACAGAATGCCTATCTCATTACAGAGTTTGACAAATTGAAAAATTGCTCGTCTATATCTATGAAGTATACAACAGCAACCAAGTCATGAAAAGTAGATGGAAAGCCAGGAAAGAACAGAGTAACCTTTCTTAACAAAGATTCTAAAGAAGTGGAACAGAAAAACAAACCAGAGCATTAGAATGAAGGCAAGAAAGTGGAAATCATTGCCGAGACAACAAAAATTATTGAAAATAAGAAATACATAAGCACACAGACGTATAATTAAGTCACAATTCATTAAAGCCCAGCCCTCCTAAAACTAGACGAAATTACTAGTGGCAAGATGCATGTGCATTCACATGTGTTGGTACGACACATTCACACCAACAAAAGCAAGATGTAGAGCTTACCAATCAAGCTAAGGGAAAGAACCATCCAGAAAAGTATTAGAACAGGTCGACTGTATTGCATTAGGTACTGGGACCTTTGAAGCTGTCTTTGTATAGCCCCATACCACCCATATAATTGCTTGTCATAGCACTTATCATAACTATCAAGGTAACTCTTACTTCTTTCATAGCACACACTGATGCCCTGCTAGAAAAATAAAAACCATAGCATACTGATTTAGCAAAAGCATTAGAAAAGCACTCAACGAGAGACAACAAAACAGACTTAGAGCGCACCCTGTTCAATTCTGACGATGGCAGCAATGCACTATGGGCTCCTTGGTTATTATCCGCTGCTTTCAGTTTTCTAAATGCATTCTTTGGCCACTTGATCTTAGAAACAGATTCCATGGAATTAAAAAATCCTGAAAAACTGGGAACCTTATGCACAGGACCAAAAGATCTGTTGGAAGAACTATATGGTTGGACATCATCAGACACTGCAATCTTCCATGAACTAAAATCGGCACTAGCACTGGCTATCCTACGATGCCCATGCGAACTCTCTTCCTTTGTTTCCAAGGGATTCCATTCAGAAGAAAGTAGATTTTTTGAAATACTATCCGAATCTTTATCACATAATTGTTGACATTCACTGTCCCTAACTTTATCTTTTCTAGGGGTTTTGCCTTCATTAGCTGGCATTCCTGAAAGAAATAATGCAAGCTCATTCCTTTCACCTTCATTCAGACGCACCCAAGGTAGCAATGCCTTGCCATCTGAGACAATGGATTCCTGCAACGACTGCTCAACTTTTCTAACTTTTTCCTGAATGGCAGCAATAAAATCTTGGTGCCTATTCCGTGCCTCATCACTTGAACTTTTGCCATAACTTGTACTAACTGCCCGCTCAAATTCCTCTAGCTGCATTGCCAACCCAACGTGCGACCAGCATCATTATGATGTTAAATACGCCAATCATGTATTTAGCACGTTTGCTAGGCACAGGAGGCCATCATGCTTACAGAGGCAATAAATCAAGTTGACAGGAGGGAAGGTTACCTGCCATTTTGCAGTGCCGAGGGAAGTTTGCAGATCTCGGCGAAGTTCCTCAGAGTCCCACCTATTGGAAGCATCATCTTTGGCGTGCGTCCATGTCCGATAAGTAGATTCCATCCTTGAAAAGAAAATGTTAGAAATTAATAACAAGAGCGTCCGAAGGATAAAAAGTAAGCAAAACAGAATATTGGAATTCTGCGATGTCTTTGTTGACCAAAACAACTTCTTTCTTTCAACTTTCAAAAAAGTGAAACCAATAACTAGAACATACAAATCATAGGCTTCCCCTTTTCGGGAATAATAATAATAAAAACATCAATTGATCCGGTGGAATTTGCGAGGAGTTAATTAATTCCGATACCTAAGAAATGATCCAAAAACCTCTGGTTGCATATTTCCCTCGAAACCCAAATGAACGAAAGGGTAGCAGCGATAATGATGGGTACCTGTCTGCAGATTCCTGAACCTCTTCAGCCGCCGCAAAGAAAGGATCTTTTTCCCATCGATCGAAACTCGACGCCATTAGAAAACAAGGGGTTGGCTCGAACGGTAATAAACGGCAAAAAGAAGAAATCCAGTACCAAAAACCCTTGCCGGGAAAATATTGGCTGCAATATCCTATCAAACTCAACACGCAGATGAAAATGAACGATACAGCCGTGGGAAGAGTTCGAATTAGTTGCAGGAGGAGGATACGGTTGTTGTAAGATGTGATTAGGAGCAAGGTAACACGAACGTTACAGCGGCCAACCAAATCAAATATATAAATTTGTCTCTCCCGATTATTTTTGGTGATTGCAGTCAACGAACTTTTCTCCGGGCTGAACCATGGAATGCAAGTACATCCGCATGCGCAATGATCATTTCATGTCAGGTTGCTGCGGCGTCGTTTCTCAAATGCCGCCAAGGCAATGGTCAATCCTATCCTATTCCTGTCTTTGCCCTCATCCTTCCGAGTTGACTCCCACGAGCCACGAGGCCATAATTCAAGAATTCAATAGAGAGACCAAAAAGTGCGCCTAGTCGGTTTTGTGTTGACCTGAGAATCAAAGAATAACGATCGGTTAAAAAATCAACGCTGATGGCTTCCCCCTCCATATTTTCCACTCCAAAACACGTGTTATTAAAAAGGCTTTGTCCATTTAACAATTAAATTAAATATATGTAATTTAGAGTTTTTTTTTTACCAAATATGTAATTTAGAGTTAAGTATATTATTTTAGGGCTTTATTTATATGTGACTAGCTTTATTAATTCGTGTGTTATCAATTATGATTTCATATTCTTGCCTAGCTTCTCGCCATATCATAATGCTCTTACAACTTCAGCAAAATTTTGACAAAAACTAATGTCAAACTTTCTCTCACAACTCACTATTTGTATGGTGGACATTACTACATTAGGATCGTCTCAAAACTAAAAAAGTTAGAACACACGAGGGAAAAGAGAGGATTCCATACTGAAATTAAAATGAGATTAAAGGTTAACATAATATTTGATCTTTTAAATTTATCTTTATTTTGATTTCAGTTTCTCAAATTTTAAATTATAGATTTTGGTTTTTTAATGGCCTGTTTGGTTTGAGGGGAGGGTAGAGGAGGGAGGGGAGAATGGGGTAGAGAAAGGGAGGGGGTTTTATCCTCACCTTATTTGGTTTGATTGAAAAGAAAGGGAGGGAAGGATATTTAATGATTCATTATTTGGTTCAAGAAGGGAAGGGGAGAGATAGTAATAAACAATTTACCATTTTACCCTTACAAATTAATTTATATTTTTTTATTAATATATTATATAAATTAATTTACATCTTAATTTAAATTATATAATTTAATGAAAATTCAGTCTTATCATATTAATATGTGCATTAAAAAATTATATAAATTACAGTAATTTTTTATTCTAATTAATATAATAATATATTTGAAATAATTAAATTAATAAATTTTATATGCTCTAAGAAAAATGAAATTTTATTCTCTTTAGGCTATCTTTTTTTTCAGCTTTAAAATATATTTAATAAATAATATATTTATACAAAAAAATTAATTTTATAATATTATAATTTTTTATTTAAATAATTTTGTTATAATATATTTTTTAATTATAATATTTTTTATTTTTTATTTTTTACTTAGGATAATATATTTTTATTTAAAATAAATATTATAATAATATATTTTATGGGTAGTAATGAAATATTAAAATAACCATAAGAATATGATGATCCAAAATTTTAACTCTTCTCCAAAAGCTCCCAATTTGGAGGGAAGCTAAAATCGGAAGAGGGGAGAAGAGGGGACATTTTGACTTTCTTTCCCTTCAAAATTTTTAACCAAATGAGGAGAGAGGCTCATTTTTCCTCTCTTACAAAATGATTTAAATTTTTACTGAATTATAGAAATTGATGTTATAAATAAAATTTTTTTAAAAAGTAAAAATTATAATTCGAAAATTGAAAGATCAAAGTTTATATTATAAGAAGTCCAAGAGAATCTGTGGCCTATTTCAGATTTCACAAAGCCTGGGGAACGAGCGTAATTATGAGAAACTTAGCTCGAATTGCCGGTACCTGCGTCTTGAGGCAAGGTTTTCGGCCGCAGGCTACTGAATTAGAGAACAAAGACATGAATGAAGGAGAGCAGCTATGCGAGGCCGCGAAGAACGGCGACTCCGACAAGGTGAGAGCTCTTATAAAATCCGCAGCCGATGTTACCTATTTCGATGCCGATGGTCTTTCTCCTCTGATGCACGCGGCTAAACTTGGCCACGCCGAGGTGCTGAAGATCCTCCTCTCTGCTGGCGCCCCCTGGAACGCTCTTTCTCCTTCAAGCCTCTCTGCTGGCGATTTCGCTATGCAGGAAGGCCACCAGGATGCCTTCGAGGTCCTCCTCAATGCTGGTACGGTCCTTCTCTGCTTGGTTTCCATTTGCCCTTGTCTGCCTGATCTCTTTTTCTTATCTCCCTATCGATACTAAGTATCAACGAATTCTTAACTATAATTTATTTTATTAAACTTAAAGGTCCACTAAAGAATAGCGACGGGCAACGGGGCTTTTATTAAACTTAAATTTATATGAGCAGCTTCGCACTGTAAGAAATCGTGATATTTGCTGGAATTAAATGATGTAAAAATCTCGACAGTCTGCTAAAAACTCAGGACTCAAAGAAAGTGTATCCACCCCATTCAAAATTAAATGTCGAGATTTAAATAAAAGGTAAACTGTTTTCGTGTTTATTGTCAGGTGTAATACCAATTCCTGCGGTCATCACACGAATGAGTTCCTTGGAATGCTTATGCCCTTTAGTCCCATATATCTTTACCTAGTTGACGTTTAGTTGTTTAAATTGTCCGCAACACACTTATGAAGTCGATGTCTGTTGGTTTATCTAAGGGTGTTTTTGTAGGCCTTTGACCGTAGGACTGGAAATATGAGTGAAGTGGGAATGTGTGAAAATGAAGAATTCGTGTCTAATCATGCATGATGTCTAAATAGATTGTCAAGTTTCAATACTGATCCTTTGGCTCCTTCCAATTTCAATCATACTCTGAGTATTTGTTGTCATTTTCATGTAGTTACTAAGTTCTACTTAATCAGGCATTCAAGCCGAGTTGATCCTGGGTACAATTGCAAGGAGAGAAAGTAAAAACGCCAATATTGATCAAGATTATTTGGAAGACAGGGTAAGTTTTAGCGAAGATAAGCTGATGGACTCTAATAGCAAGGCTGTCATGATGGCTTGGGAGAAGCCATTGATGGAGGCTCATGCTAAAGCGATTTGTTCAGGAGGTGGTCACATACTAAATATTGGATTCGGAATGGGTCTTGTGGATACAGCCATCCAGCAATATGCACCTGTGACACACACCATTGTCGAGGCCCATCCAGAGGTTTATGAACGCATGCTTCAAACAGGTTGGGGGCAAAAGGAAAACGTGAAGATAATTTTTGGTCGCTGGCAAGATGTTCTGACTCAGCTTGAAGCATACGATGGTAACTGCAATTTTTTATTTGCAATATCATGTCTTAGTAGCATAATTGCACAATTTTAGGTGATGAGATTGTCTTTATGTTTGATACTCAAAGATCAGTACAACTGATGTTTTGTGAGGGCTGTTATTTCTGAACATCATAATTGGTCATCAAATATTAACGAGGAGCATCAGTTTGGCTATTACGAATTGGGAAAGACATGAGCTCTTTATTGAACATCATAATTGTATATTTGTATCTATTTACTGATGAATCTTGTACTAATTTACCTGTTATTCGAAATATTTGATATGTTGGTTTATCTGTATTTTCTTCAGGCATTTTCTTTGACACCTATGGAGAATATTATGAAGACCTAAGAGAGTTCCATCAGCATCTTCCTGTGCTGTTGAAGCCTGGTGGAATCTACTCATTCTTCAATGGCCTCTGCGGAAGTAACGCCTTTTTCCATGTTGTTTACTGCCATCTGGTTTCTCTTGAACTCGAGAATTTGGGGTATTCCACACAATTAATTCCATTGCCTGTTAAGGATTGCTTGGGAGCAGAAGTTTGGGAAGGTGTGAAACAAAAATATTGGCAACTCGATACGTACTACCTTCCTGTCTGTCAGTCTTCGGTGGACTCTGAATGATGTTAATTCTATCTGTGTTTGCTGTTTTGAATGAAATTTTAATTAGAATAGGTTTGAAATTCTCGCGTCTCTACTGGGGCACTTAGTTTAGAATTAATACTGCCGCCGACGGAGAACAAACAACTACACTGTAGCACTGAAGGATTTTATTTCATTGGGCATTTTAATACGGGATATTATACATTATTAAGAGATAAAGTGTGGACTAATGTTATTTCATACCTTTATAAAAGATTAAAATATCATTTTAAATTTTTAATCAACTATTTTAATGAATTATTGGATGATTATCGAAACATTGTTGATAAGTAATTAAAAAGTACTGTATTTATTTTAATTTTATTATTTATAAAATATTAAAACTTTAATAATTTAAATTTATTATTTACAAATCTTACACATTTTACCAGTGAACTTCCAATACATCACTTTCAGTCTTAATCATTGTTTGTAGATTACAAATGAGATCTTATAACTAGAACAGGAGTAATATATAAATTTTTCAGAAACTTGCAACTTAACTAGTGTATTTAGCTAGTGTATTGTAATATTTTTTAGTAACTTCAAAGGTGGTATTTTTTAAATACGTAGCATATGACAAAAAAGTTCCTTAACCCTTTTAAAAGGTTATCCTGACAGAGGAACCATGAATTTTTTCGCATTGAAAGTGACAATTTCTGTTTAATGCAATAATACTTGCTGGGTGAAGATGGATGATTCAGAGACAAGCAATTGTGTACCTCTTCCTTCACTTTTTATCATCTCCTGAGGTTGCAATAACACTGATTTGAGCGCGGAGCAACCAATCCTGTCAGCTTTTCTCCTCCCGTCTTAAAATAATTGAGATCATATAAAATTTTACTGTATCTGCTTATTCATTTGAAGACATGTATGAAGGAACATGCATTCAGTCATCCTAAGTGTTTCCAGTCGGAAAAGGATGAAAAGGAAAGACGAGAATAGAGAACAGGAACAAAATATTGTATTGTTCTCGAAGTGGCTGGGATCATGCATTCTGACAGGAAAATATGTTTTTTATATTCAATCAAGATAGATTTTGACGATTTCATAGAAACATATTATGGCTGAGCGCTTTAAAAGCGTTGCCAACAATCAACATTATTCCCTCGTCATTAAAGCATGTTTCATAATCAGAATCGATGTTTTAGTCTCATGACCTACAAACTGCCCAAAAATCTGATCTGTCACAACTTACCGGAACGCGTGTAGTTATTTTGATAAAAAGAATAAAAGGACTATAGTCTTCTAACTTATCTTTGCTACCATTACTTAACAATCGTTGAGGTCTTTAGACCGGATAATATGCCG